AAAGGAGAAAGGAGGAGATGGGACCAGGAAGAAGGGATAAAAGAGGGATGTTAGGAAGGGAAGGAGGAAAGCAGGTGAGGGAGGGAGGGAGGAGGGGAAGGAAGGGGGAGGGAGGGAGGAGGGGCTGGAGAGGAAACACAACCCTTTACAGAGCCGAATGAAATTTACAAGGGCAAGTCAGACTCAAGTGTCCTGAAATGTCAGGAGTAGAGGAAAACAGTAGCTGATGGTTTGGGATAAAAGAGGGATGTTAGGAAGGGAAGGAGGAAAGCAGGTGAGGGAGGGAGGGAGGAGGGGAAGGAAGGGGGAGGGAGGGAGGAGGGGCTGGAGAGGAAACACAACCCTTTACAGAGCCGAATGAAATTTACAAGGGCAAGTCAGACTCAAGTGTCCTGAAATGTCAGGAGTAGAGGAAAACAGTAGCTGATGGTTTTAGAAAGGGCCACTGCTTCCCACACGGTGTCCGACTCACTACTGTGGGGACCAAGCTCCTCCTTCCTGTTTTCTGAAGGAAATAAGCGGCCTCAGAGGGTGAGCTATGTTTACCCTCTTCCAAGCGCCTCTTACCACCAAGCACTTGATCTCTGTGATCAACTTCCTGTTGAATTTGTTTCAGTTGATCTTGCTTCGGCTAATCCTAGACCTAAAGCGAGCTCCATGGGCCAGTGCCTACCCTGCTACCCAGCCAGGGAACTGTTATTCGCTATGATGAGCTGCACAGCAACTAAAGCATTTGTAAACTTCTGCAGTAATAGGTGAGCAATACTCATGTCCGGATTGGAGACAGAAATGGGTCTGCATATTCAGTTTCTAGGACTCAACTATTATCTTTTTCCAAAAGAAAATATTGGTTCTGGACACAGAACTGATGTAACATTAATCTTAATTCTACCCTCCTCCTCTTTCCCATTCTCATTCTCTTCCCCAACACCCTCCCCCACCATGATCAAATCTTCCTTCCCCAAAAGCTTGTCCCTGGACAGGAACTCTGGCCATCCAGCAGCCTCACTGATGATTTCCTGTCTGTCCCTCTGTATCCCCGTGTATCCCCCTATGAATGCTGGTGACCTATGGCTTTAACTTTGGATTTTTTAAATTATTTTTATTTTGTACATATGTGTGTTTTCCTTACATGTATGTAAGTGTATTAGTGTCACACAATGCCCTCAGAGACCATAAGAGGGTGTTGGATCCCCTGGAACTAGAGTTCCAGGCAGTTGTTAGCTGACATGCGGGTGCTAAGAACTAAACCCAGGTCCTCTGGGAAGAACAGCCAATGCTCTTAACCACTGAGCTGTCTCTCCAGCCCCTGATATTACCTTTTTTGCCCCCTCTACCCAGACATCTCTCTGTCTCATGGAAGTATCTGCTGTTGTTTTCATAGCTCATTTCTAGAATATTTAATCATTCATATAGAACAAATGAGCTGTCCAGGCATGGAGGCACACGGCTGCAATCCCAGAACTCAGGAGGCTGAGGCAGGAGAATATAGAGTTTGAAACCCTGACTCAAAAAACTAAAGAATTAAAACGAAACGACAGCAACATAACCTGCGTTTAACACTGCCCACAATCTCGTAGCACCTAGTGCCAGTTCTAAGAACTTCAACGGAGTCGGGTTTTCTACGGGTAAGATCACGTCATCTGCACACAGAGATGGCTTTCCTATTCCTGATGGTCTGGAGCAATGCCTGTTACCCTGTTCCCTGCCTCTGTTGGTTAGAACCTCTGTTTTAAATGCCTTTCATACCGAATACCATGTGACCTGGGGCCAAGGATAGGAAAGACAGTTTTGCTTGTTTATTTTCCAGTTTTAGCCCAGGCTGACCTAAACTCCTCTGTAGCTAAGTATGACCTTGACCTTCTGATCCAATTTTGTCTCCGCTTCCCAAGCGCTGGGATTCGCCACCATGCCAGACTTACTGCTGAGGTGGAACCCAGGCTTTTGTGAATGCTAGGCAAGCACTCTACCAACTGCGCTGCACCACAGCCCCAGACGCCTTTCACTGCCCCATGTGTTGCTCAATCCCCCCTCAGCCTCACCTGTCTCAACCAATGGCTGGTCCATTCCTCCAGGGGCTTAGAATAAACTTGATTCTGTCACTCTTTACACCTGCCCAGGCCACTGGCAAACCCTGTCAACCTTTCCTTCAAAACCCAGAACCTGGTCACTCTCACACTGCTCCACTCTGACTCCAGGTCCAAGTCACCACCCCCATCTGGACTCGTGGGGGGGTTCTCTTAACTGACCCCGTAACCCTCCCCCCAGGACTCTGCTCAGCATGATCCCAGCACAGCCTTTCTTTTCTTTCTCTTTAATGGAGTCAAGCTGTGGCCACCCTCCCTCCTCTGGCTTGCAGTTACACCTTACTCCTGCAGCAGCAGCCTAGGACACCCCCACACCCCCTTCCTCATCCTCCCTCCTAGTCACCCCAGTGCCTCTGGCCCCAGGCTGGGTCCCAAGCTCACCCAGCATGCTCTGCTCTCAAGCCTTTCCATCTCCCTTCCAGCAGCAACTCTCTTCTGTCCATGTCACATAACCCATCCCTCACCTCCCTGTGGTCATAGAGCATCTCACCCGAACCACCCAACACATGCACCCCGCCTTCACCCCGCTGTTGTTCCATCCCCTCACCTGCTTTCCTGTCCACAGCACTAGTGCCGCCCACCACCACGTACTACGTGTCCACTGATTCATCTACCACCATTCGGCCCAATCTAGAACAGACCTCAACAAGGACCAGATTTGCTGTGTTTACTAAACTATTCCAGAACAGAGAAGGGTGATTCACATGAGACTGTTCAGTGTTTAGATGAGTAAGTGACTGAAGACATCCCCTTACTCCATTTCCCCAGTTGTTTCTATATCTTACATTTTCTATTTTTATAAATAAAATATTTTTATTTTATATTTAAATATATTTATAATATTTATAAAAATACTCATACCAGGGCTGGAGAGATGACTCAGTGGTTAAGAGAACTGGATGTTCTTGCAGAGGACTCAGGTTTGATTCCCAGCACCCACATGGTGGCTAACAACCACCCATAACTCCACTTTTAGGGGATCCAACGCCCTCTTCTGACCTCCACGGGTGCACTTACATACATTCAGGCATAACACTCATACACATAAAATAAAAATAATAGATAAAATATTTTTGAAAAAATACTCATACCAAAGTATAACTTTGGGTATAAGCTGGCAAAAAAAAAATACTGACCAGAAATTAATCTAAATTAATTTCCATCATTAGTTAAGCAACTGTTGCTAACTACCACATCCCCTGACCGAAAAAGAATCCTGGGTTAGAAAAATGAAGCAAAATAGTTGCAGTGACAATCGGTATGCCAGGGATTTAATTTTCAAAGCGGTGATCCAGAGATCCGTACACTTGTCTGTCAGTCTTCCTCTGAGCCTCTGTCCCGCGCTAAGATCCCAGTCTGCCTCACTAGCAGGAAAAGGTGTGGGTAAAACCCTTCCTTGACTCCAAGTGGTTTTATAGACAAATCTCTTTGGAATAAGTCCATGTCAAATTCCAGATCTTCAGTTGGAAAGATACAGCACTACTCCCCAAACGTAGCACCCTCGACAAGTTTCCAGAGGGAGGGCAGAACGCTCAGGGCTTCTCCCCAGTCGACTGTTCCCCAAAACAATGACTTCAGCAGCTCAACAGCATGTTTAAACAGCACCTCCCACCCTAAGCCAGGACCACCTCAATAAATCATCCTTCAAACACCACATAGCTCAAGCAGGCAGAGAAGCACAAATCTGGACACAGTCTCTATAACCACACAGTCAGCCTCCAAAGCCATGTTCCTCTCTTCAGTCGAGAACTAAAGGTGTACATTCAGAATCATAAAAATACACATTTGAAGTGTGTGTACTAAGAATAATAAAAATAGAATTTTAAAGTCTAGCATAAATCTTAGCTCCATACTTTAAATTAACCATGTTTATCAATATAAGCAGCTATCCTATGCATTATTCAAAACCTCCTGCTGAGAACTGACAGCCAGAGAGAATCTCTCTCAACACACCTGCAAAACCCCAAGTAGGTAAGTGATGCTAATTTACGTTTGTTTCCAAGAAGAGCCAAGTTCCCAGAGATCTCATCCCAAAACAGCCTCACCATGCATGTTCTTTCTTGTACAGAC